AAGATTTTATGCACTACATTCTTTGTCAGTAGCAGGAGAGAGAATGATTGAGAAGAATGATTTGTTGGATGTTGAAATAGAATGAAGAAATATAAAAAAATGTATAAATAAATCAGCTTCTGAACATGTAGGGATAGAGAGAAAGAACAAAAAAGAAGAATGGTATAATCAAGACTGTCATAACATGTTAAAAAAGAAGATAGAAATAAGACAAAAGTGGATCAGAACAAATAGACAAGAATATAAAGAAGAATACAACAAATTAAGGACAGAATATAAGAAACAAATGAAGAAAATTAAACGAACCTGGTTAAATGATAAGATAAATGAAATAGAAAAAAAAGCACAAACAGAAACACAAAAGCATTTTATAAGAAAATTAGAGAGCAGAACAAAACCTTTAAACGAACGATAAAAGGCATGAAGGATAGAAATGGAAAAGTATCAGAAAATGACAAAGAGTAAGAGAAATCTGGACTGATTATTTTAAAGAATTATTAACAGTACAAGAGGACCAAGACTTAAATGAAAACGTGGAAGAAGAGACCACGATGATAGAAACCGAGCTAGAAAAACCAACGAAAGATAAGGCTAAGGAAATTATAAACAGTAGTCGCAACGGTAAAGCACCAGGTATAGACGGTATAAACATGGAACTTATAAAATATGGTGAACATGAACTCAGAGAAAAAATATACCAATTATTAAAAGTCATATGGGACGCAGAAAAGATGCTAGAAGAATGGTACAAAGGACAAATTATCACAGTCCATAAAAAAGGAAACCAACAAATGTGTAATAATTATAGAGGACTGACATTATTAAACACAGCGTATAAAATCATGTCAACATTAATACAACAAAGACTGGCCGAAGTGACGACAAATGTCATGGGACAGTATCAATTCGGATTTATTAGGGGAAAGTCAACAACAGATAATATCATACATACAGTAAAGCAAATTATGGAGAAAGCTTATGGATATAAAAAAGAAATTGAACTGCTTTTTATAGACTTCCAACAAGCATTTGATTCAATAAATAGAGCGAAATTACTTACAGCTATGGGAGAAATGAGAATATACAACAAATTAAGACGATTAATAAAAATGACAATGAGCAAAATCGTAGTAATCGTAAAAACACAAAAAGGAGGTACAGAAGAATTTGTTATAAATAAAGGTATACGTCAAGGAGATTCATTATCTGCAATTCTATTTAAGCTTGCCCTGGAATATATAGTCAGAAAAATCAACAAGGTACACTTAGAACGAGAGAGGGACAAATAATAGCATCCAAAAACAAACTCGACACATTTGAAAGAAATAGTACTGAGGAGAATACTAGGACCTGTGGAGGGAAAACGAAATCTTCAGAATTCGATATAAACAACGAGCTCTATCAACTGTATAGGAAACACCCCTGTCAAACTTCATTAGAATACAAAGATTGCAATGGGCCGGACATGTGATACGAATGGGAGAGGGATAGGCTACCAAAACGAGCACTGAACGCCAGAATGCAGGGAAAGAGACCAGTTGGAAAGCCAAGAAAAGCGCTGGGAAGACACAGTAAGCAGCGAACGCACAAGCACTTTTAGGAGTCCGTGTATGGAGAAGAGCAGCCACAGACAGACAAGGGTGGAGGCAAAAAATAAAGGAGGCCAAGGCTCATTTTGGGCTGTAGTTGCCGTAGAAGAAGAACAAGCATTTGATTCAATTAAACAAAAGCGAAATGACATACAGCTATAAGAGAAATGAGAATACACAACAAATTAAGACGATTAATAAAAAAAATCCACAAGGAAAAACAATTCCTGTAGCTGGCTGTATAACCACGTATTACAAAAAAGAGGTTAGTCTTTGTAAGTGGGTATATTTATTTAAAAAACCCTTAAAAGGGGCTACATAAAAAAAACAAACGTTTTCGGACTAAACAGTCCATCATCAGGTTTTAAAATCTGCTGGGTTAAAATGCCTGAGCCACCAAAAATACATGGGTAAAAACCCTTTAAATTACTTATTTTAGCCGGGGGAGAAATCCTCTACGCACGGAGAACAGCTGGAAACTGATTAATAAAAATGGCAATGAGCAAAACCATAGTAATCGTAAAAACACAAGAAGGAGGTACAGAAGAATTTGTTATAAATAAAAGGTATACGTCAAGGAGATTCATTATCTGCAACTCTGTTTAAGCTTGCCCTGGAATATATAGTCAGAAAAATCAAACAAAGTTACACTTAGAACGAGGAGAGGGACAAATAATAACATATGCCAACGATATTGTGATAATAACAAAGAACAAAAAAAAAAATGGAAAGTATGTTATTAAAGGTTATTCTAAAGCACTTTTAAAATATATTATTTCTGTAAGTTCGTAAAACTCAAACTGGCTCTCATCTATCATGTTAAACGTACGCAGAATTGGGCTTTTTCTTTGTATTCTATGTCAAAAAAGATTGAACCAAGTGGTTGATTTATTGGCACTTGCATCTGTTGGCCACCCAACGACCAGAGGGCGGTATATTGCCCTGGTAGCGATCTCAAGACGGACATTTTTGCCACTTCTTCGTCACGAGTGAACGAAAACACATTGACCGGTCTTGTGCTGTCTCGGCGACGCGACGTCCCGCGTCCCGGGCGTCGGTACCACCGGCCAACTCTACTAGCTTGGTACGAATTCATCAATAGAACCAAAGGGTAAGTCAATTCTTGTATAAAACATTGATAATGAGGTAAACCAGTTTATTTCTAATTTATTTCTACTTTTACAATTTATAATTGCTATTTTCACCAATTTTATGTAAGTATCAACAATATCGCATTTTTTCGTTATTATTATTTATTCAATATAATTTAAACCAGCGACTTCTCAAGTTTAATCATTAAACAGACATATAAGGAGATCAGGACCATCTACGACAATATTATTAATATTGGAATAAACACCAGCTGGTAAAAAGAAGACGTGGAAGACCAAGATCTACATGGCTACAAGAAAGTAACAAAAGATCTCAACAGGGCGGGCGTACGGCAATGGAGAGAAAAAACCAGAGATAGAAAACATTGGAGAAAAATAATAGGAAAAAATTAAATAAAGAAAATGAGGACTGATCTACCTCGTAACACAAATCTAGAAAGCTTAAGCGGAGTAACCCCGTGTGGGGTGTTTAGCCACAATATATATTATTTTGTATTACTTTTAACATACTTATATGATCAGTAGTTGTTCCTCCTGCTCTAAAACCTTCTCTGGTATTCTCCAGTCATCTTGTTATCATATTTCAATAAACTTCTCCTAATAAATAATAATTTTTGCAAGTATTTTATAGACTACTTCCAACAACGCTATACGTCTATAGTTTTCGCACTCCGTTTTGTCTCCATTTCTACAGATAGCACAATTATTATTAAGAGCGCTGTTTTATTGTTTCGGCATTTCTTTCCTTTTGCCGAATTATTAATTTTAAGCGAAATATTCTTTCCTTTAATCTTTCTTTACATTTCTTAAAAATCTTAGGTTTCTCGCAAGTTCTTGTTTCGTCTTCATGCCAATTTCATTTCCCTTGAGTTTCTCTTGTTGGTCTGTATTTAATTGACCTTCGAAGTATTTCGCTCATCTGTCTATTTTTTCCGTTGTTTTTTTTATCTAGAAGCAAACCTTCTTTTTTTCTGCATTACCGTGAATTTATATTTTAGACAATGTTTTTACCTCTTTGTTTATGTAAAGGCCCATTTTTACGCTACGTCTTATTGTACGTTTTGTTGGATAGGACAAATCCTATACAATAAAACGTTGCATGAAAACAGCAAAACTTACGTCTTGTCGGAAGGAAACACATAGTGTGTATACACTGCACTAAACGTACGTTTTGTCGTACGTTTTATATGACCAACAAAACGTACAATAAGACGTAGCGTGAAAACGGGCCTTAAGCTATGGTTTTTTTCTTTTTTCAGCAAATTCTGTTAACTTCTCTTCTCCTCTCCACATAGTTGTTGATCGTATTTTGGGTTTTTTTTATGTCTCTTTGTAGTTTTGCCCTATTTCTTTTTGCCAATGCATTCCTACATTCTTCATCGAACCAATCTTGCAGCCTTTTTACATGTTTCCTTCCTATACACTTTTCCGCTGCTTCTGACATGGCTGTCTGTATGGTCTGCCATGTCTTTTACTCTAGCTTTTATTAATTTTTCTTAGTCTGTTTATTGCCTGTTTCTTTTCTGCGGATCTGAAACCTTCCTCCTTTCTACATTGTAAGTGTTTCTAATTCCGTTCCACTTTTTCTGAATATCTGAAATTGTCTTTCCTAATATTTCGCTTAAGTTGTTTAAAGCAACATTTTTTTTCTGTTTGTTATGGTAATCTTTTTGTTTTATATTGAATAAACATGGTTTGGATTCGTATCCTTCTATTAATAGAATAATAATGTCCGTTGACCAAGACATTTTTAAATTATTTCAAATTCAAAAGAAAATGCAACGAGGCATCCACAATGGAGGCAACTAAAACCAAACCCAAACAACAGTTATATCCTCAGAAAAACCAACGTGTCTATTATGACATGACATATGACATAACCTTACTGTGTTCCATGGTTCCAAAGGCGAAAAAAGACGAATGATCTAACTGCGCATGCGTGTGTAATAAAAATTGGTATCAAAATAGGACAGGTTCTAATTTCTATAACATTTTTTGTTAACAGATTTTGTTTTCTGTTTTACATTATGACAAAACTTTTTTGTAAAAGTATACCATTTTCTTATATCATTTTATGTTATAGTCTAATAGTCTTAAGATATATTTGCGACCTTGGAGAATCTTTTAAATCTTTTTTTTTTTTTTGTGTTTTAGTGTGATAAAAGCATTGGCAAGGGCTGACAAAACTAACAGATTTAGACGTAGAAACTTAAGGTATCAATAAATTATTTCATTTTCTACAGCATTTATAAAAATACTATTTTCATTAAGTAAACTTAAAAATAAAACTACATAAAAATACAGACCCAAAAGTTTATTTAATAGATAACTTTAATTATTATATAACTATAATAACTTAAATGAATTAAAATTATTATATAACTTAAATTATTGGTCAACATAAATCTGAACATCGTACTGCACCTGCTCTTCTGGTTGAACAGGATCAATACGTAAACCTACATACCCCTTTCCATATCCACCTTCTTCTATAACTGATGTACTAAAACTTTCATTCATATCGATTATCTTAAAAAAAATAAACACAAGAATTAAAAATAAAGATACGGGTTCTATGTACACAAAGCATTACCTGAAGGCAATTGATTGAAGCATTAAAGAAACCCGAGCCTGGAATGCGTACATAGATAAATTCTCCGGTTAGTGTGTTGTGGTAAATTAGGGATCGTCTGAAAAAAAACGCATATATCACGTTTCCTGTAAATACTGATTCTATCACGTTGGTATAAATAAGTTTTTATTAAAATATGTTGTTGGAGTTTAATTATTATTCTTATAAATGTTTACCAAATTATCAACAATTATGGCAATTACTTACTGGTGGCTGGTTTCAGGACACATGCTATAGTCAGTTGTACTGGATGGTGAAACTGCGATCAACATTACTATTCCTACCAACAATAATATTTTAAAATTATTTAAATACATGTTGACTTGAAATAACAGAACTTCTTCACAGGATAAAAATATAATTATGTTACATTACGCTTTTGAGTAGTGCTTCTATATATACTAAAATATTATAGAGTGGATGTCTAAAACATTACAATTTTAGATAACAAGTACAGTTCTCACATCAGATCCTCACAGTTCACAAGTTTAGCATACCACAGCATAATTCTACTTCAACTTCCTCATACGCAACTCCTAGATCAACTTTTCCAAAGAGGGATCAAGCCATAGTATTGCATGCCGATAATAGGTGATGCTATTGGTCCCAAACAGATCCTATTCGCATCCAGAATATTTAATAACAGAATTTGTATATATTTAACTAACTCAAAACTCGACAAACTTCTAAAATCTCATCCGATTTTAACAATAGGAAACTCTGTGATGCACGTTCGCAGGCTAGTCTCCCCCACAAAAAGAATAACAATATCCAATATATCTCCATGTATACCACACGACCTTGCAGAAAATGCGATAAAAGAACTTGGCCCCCAACTGGCCTCCCCCGTCTCATTTTTAAGAGCTGGTATCCCCGGTGATAAATATATATAAGTCTGAACTCACCATTTCGCACCCCACAAACCAATCACCACATAACCCTATCCAAACCAATCCAATAAACCTCGCCCTCGCAGAAGTAGATTTAAATTTGGCAATTTATTTAATGAAAAACTCATCTGCAGGTCCTGATAGCATCCCGTTTATCTTTCTCAAACATCTACAGGCAGAAACCTCACGAAACTACTTGCGCTTTACAATAAGATGTAGTTCAGCCAAAGCTTTCTGAGTCTTTGACGACAGTCGCTTATCATACCGATCAGGAAAAATGACCCATCTTCTAACGCTGCCAGAGCCTACAGGCCAATCTCACTAACATGTACAATGTGCAAACTTCTAGAAAAGATGATAAATAAACGTTTGCTTTGGTTTCTTGAAGAAAACGACCTGATAGATGCAGCACATTCGGGATTCAGACCCAATCGGAGTACGATGGATGACCTGGTACTTCTCCAAACAGAAATAACCCAAGCTATATCAAATAAAAAAGACGTCATCACAGTTGCCTTAGACTTAGAAAGTGCCTTCGACACAATAAACAGAGCTGCTTTTATTAGAAAACTTGAGCAACTTAATTTAACCGGTAATATACCTTTATAATAATATATTATACCTTTATAAACCTTTATAAACAATTTCTTACAAGAGGGATCATTCAAAGTAGTCGCAAATGGAAAAAGATCTACGTCACATATCTCACAAAATGGAGTCCCCCAAGGCTTAGTTCTTAGCCCCACACTAGTCCTTCTTAGCATTAACGATATAAACTCTCGTGTTCTCCCTCCAATAAAATACTCAATATACGCAGATGATCTTGTTCTCTATTGCCAAGGTAAAGTCGCAAGGAGCACATGCTCTTTACTCCAAAACACTCTTAACAATCTTCATAACTTGTCCACTGAAATTGAACTTGAAATTTAACCCTCCTCTACTTCACCTAATTGGTCCTACTCTTCAAGTGGTTGATAAACACAAATTATTAGGAGTAATATTCGATAAAAGACTTACGTGGAGAGATCAGATACAGATTACAAAAACAATCTGCCTAAATAGAATCACTATCTTAAAAACTCTAGCTCACCATCAATGGGGGGCAGAAGAGAAAGTCCTCTTAAGACTTCACATTGATCCACCCTAGGTTGGATTCCTAAGCGTTCTCTACATATCTGTTTCCAATACTCACCTTAAATATCTACATACAATTCACAACACTTCTTTACGTATTAGCCTCGGCGCCTTTAAATCAAGTCTTTCTAAAAGTCTTTATATCGAATCTTCAGAACCTCCACTTTTTATAAGACGACAACGTCCACTTTTGTCTTACTTCTCTAGAATTTCTGCCAATCCAAAAAACCGAGTAATTAAACTAATTAATACTCTCTACCCTGTCCCAGATAATAGTCATCCTCGAGCACATTCTCTCTCACAAATTTTAAAAACTTTGCTAAAGGACACAGATCTAAAACTCACAAATCCATTTACTACGTCCAGAATTCCCCCGTGGACCAAAAGCTACCTACTGTCTAATAGCTAAAAGTATTTGAGGAACTTATACAGACACAGCAGTATGACAAAATTCTCTACACAGATGCCTCCAAAGAAGAACATGCCGTCGGTTGTGCCGTCAGTACCTCAAACACAATAGTAGTGTCGCATCGGCTCTCTCCCAGATCCAGTATACACACAGCAGAACTGTATTAAATACTCAAGGCAGTAGACTCGCCCGTTGCCAATGAGAAATCATTAGCAATATGCACCGACTCTCTCTCTCCATTATTGACTCAATAAAAAATATATACTCCATACATCCCATTGTACAGTGCATCCATAGCATCTGCCAACAACAGTCAAACAATTGTGTTTTAGTAACTATTATCTGGATACTATCCCATGTTGGTATCAATGGAAATGAGAACGCTGATCGTGCAGCAAAACTGGCCTGCTCCTTAGAAAATATGGAAAACGTACAACTTTACCAAGACCTAAAGGCCAGTATCACGAAAAACATACTAAGCACTTGGTAAACACACTGGAACATGCAAAATACAAAACTCCGAATAATTCAACCAATTGTTACCTCCATCTCCATGACTCAAATGAGCAGAAAAGATAATATCATTATCAGAAGGCTCAGAATAGGTCACACTCATCTTACTCATGGATATCTGATGTCTTCTGAAAACCATCGTTTTCAGATAATATAAGACATAATAGAGAGATGGGATAAATCGAGGGAAGCAATCCAAACAACATGCGCGACTCTATTAAAGCGTGACCGACGAAAAAAAAAAGAATGGATGTCTAATGAGATAATGGATATGATGGATGAAAGACGTAAATTCAAGAATAAAAATGCAGAAAAATACCAGCAGATCCACAAAACCAAGAACCTAACAACGAAAATTCGAGAAGCCAAAGAAAAATGGTTTTCCAACGAATGCAAGGAAATAGAACAATACGAACGAAAATACGACAGTTACAATATGCACAAAAAAATAAAATCGATGACAAACAAGAGGAAATTCAATAAGTCACCCAACAGCATAAAAGATAGCGATGGAAATCTTATCTAGGAGCCATCAACGATCTTAAAAACATGGAAATCATACATAGAAAAATTGTTTGCATCTGACAGGACTGATGATCACCTATATGGAGAAGGAGAAAATCGGAGATAGAAGATGCCATTGCAGCACTAAAAAACAATAAGTCAGCAGGTCCGAACAATGTACCCTGCGAAATATTAAAGATCCTATGTAAATCAGACAAACAGTTCCTTGAGAATCTAGTTGTACTTTTTAACAACATATATAATAGCGGTAAAATCCCGGAGAACTGGCTGCAGTCAACATTTATTACAATCCCGAAGAAACCAAATGCCCAGATTTGTGATGACTACCGTCTTATAAGCTTGATCAATCATGTCACTAAAGCGTTCACTAAGATCATTCATAGAAGAATATATGATAAATGTGAGTCAAATATTGATATATCGCAGTTTGGTTTTCGGAAAGCACTTGGAACTAGAGAAACAATTTTCGCTCTCCAGGTGCTTATACAGCGGTGTAGAGACGTTGATAAGGACGTGTATTTGTGCTTTGTAGATTTTAGAAAAGCATTTGACAATGTCAATCATGAACAATTGATAGGTATTCTACGAAAGACAGGTATTGACGACAAGGACATTCGAATTGTGGCAAACCTATACTGGGGTCAAACAGCAAGAGCAAAAATTGGCAACGAACTTACTGAAAGCGTGCAGATCAAAAAAGGTGTCCTTCACTATTACGAATAAGTAACATACTAATTGACCATGTGGAATCTTATGTGTACCTTGGGACCAACGTAAACGCAAAATGGGAACAGATCATAGAAGTTAAGACGAGAATAGAACGAGCTAGAGCAGCATTTAGCAATATGAAAAAGCTCCTCATAAACAAGGATTTGTCTCTTCCCCTAAAACTACTACGTATATCCTGGACCGAACATGTCACCAACATAGAGGTATTCCAAAGAATCGGAAAGGAGAAAGAAATCGTGAATACAATTAAACAAAGAAAGCTTGAATATCTAGGCCACATATTGATACACGATAAGTACCGTCTGCTACTTAAACTAAACTAGCTTAAACCTTAGATTTTAAGTACCTCCACAGAAAAAAATCTAATAATGTGAGGTTCAGTGACCAAGCTGGCTATTCCATAAACATCATCGTCCAATTTATCTACCACGATATTCCTCATCTAGATAACGTCCTATTGCACAATAATTGAGTGCAAGATTACCAACTTGTTAAAATTTTATTTACAAGCTGTCCAATGTATTTTTTATTTTTTTTTTAAATTAAGGCACAATTGGGTTTTGTAACATTTCTAGATCCACTTTACTGGTTAAGTTAGCATTGAGAAAAACAGGCCCAACTGTGTAATTTTTCAAAATGACAGTTTAGTATGTTTTTCACGAAAGACGTTATAATTTGTGTCTTTTTAATACCTTAATACCTCAAATTGTGTGTGTTAACATTTTCACTAAAGGAAAAAGTATCGTCACTAAAAAAAAATTGTTTTTATGAAATCTAGCCGTTGATTAATTTTACTGGATATATTTTCACAATATAAATGTACAGGAAAATTAAAAATACTTGAAAACCTGAAGAATAGAAGAGCAGTAGGTAAAGACGAGATATCAGACGAGTTACTGAAATATTGTGTAGCAGCAATGGCAGAAGAATTAACATTATTAATTAATAAAATAATAAAATACAATAAAATACCGGAAGAATGGAGAACGAGCAAACTAATTCGACTTTTCAAAAAATGAGATAAAAACAGCCAGAAAACTATACAGGTATGAACTTAAATACTACCCTAAAACTTACTACTAAAATTTGTACTAATAAATCAGAGGATAAATTTAGCAGAAGAACGACAGGGTTTTCATAGTGGAATATTCTGTACAGATGCAATAGAGAAGCAATCCTAAAT